TGATTTTAACTAATGATGTAAATTCGTTTTCGATTGTCAAATCCCAACTTTTCCTCCGAATCGTTTTACACTCAAGTAAAGCATTTTGTCTATCGACGCTACATTTAAAATCGATAATTTCGCACATCGTTCTCAAAATTGAAAAAGAAAAGAAAATTAATTTCAACAACAACGTTACTTATATTTCAGACGTTGAACAATTAGAATCTGTTTGTTAACAACAACAGAAAGGAAGTGAAGAAACAATTCTTCCAGCAAAGAATGAATACTTTTGTGGGAAAATGAAATAAAATCAAATGAATAAAATTAGAATAAAGAATAAAAAAGAAAAAAGAAAAATATTTTCCCATGATTTTAGTAATAAAGGAACCGGAAAGGCTTTTTTCATCATCTGCACAATTTTATGACCTTACTTCCGGAAAGAACAGAACCATTCTCTTGCCTCTTTCAAACGTTCAAACGTATTTTGCAGCTCCACTCATGAAATAAGTACTTTGGTCGTTCCAACTCATTGCAAAGCTGACTTGAGCTCGACCATTTTAACCATTCTTATCCTTACTTACCCTTACTACTGGACCAGAAAATAGGAAACGGATATACCCAAATAATATCAAAGACTTTGTTTCCCTACATTTTGTATACACACACGCACACACATACACACACACACACACACACACACATATATTACAAGTATATATATATACTTTATTATTACATTAGAACATGTGTAAAACCGCTACATAAATGCACTCATGTTTCGATGCATATCATCGCATCTCATGAGGATTATTACAATTTTTAATATTTACTTAAAACAACCTCTTTTTCCGGGAAGAAAAAGAAGAAAGAAAATAAGAATAGTAAGAAAGAAAGAAAGGCACAAGATTTAGTTTCTTCTATAGAGAATAGAAAGAAGAAAGAGAAAAAAATATAAGGAAAATGGAGAAATGTAAAGTAGGTAGACATGTTATGTTGATAATCGGTTCAACCAATCAAAATGGTGTATGTTAAGTAAGATGTCATGAAGCACAGATTTAAAATTGCAACGGAAACATATGTAATATTTGAAACAGAATTTTTACTACAATGTTGACGACGAATGGTTGGCACTTTATTGAGGAAGCAGACGTAATTTAGCAAAAATTATTTTATACTTTGTAAATAATTTGACTCTTTAAGAAATAAAAGAAGGTAAAAGCAAGAAAAATATTTAACAAAATAACGAAAACAGAAAATTAAAACAAAATATTTAAATAAATGAAGTAAACAAATCTTTTAAGTATATAGATCATATAAAATACTAAAATATATAAATTATGCATATGCTAATGCAACTGATAAACTAAAAGGTTTTTCGTGGGGTATTAATAAAACAAAACAATTGATAATATTAAAACCCCAGCCAAACGTATAAACTTTTAGATAAAATATTCCTAGAAATGTTAGAGGAATAACGTACAAACTATACTACATCGAAAAAATCTAACTTACTAAGGATAAGTTTTATAGATTTTCTACAAGGTTATTCAATAAAAAGAAGTGACTGTCAAATTCTTTCAAGTTTAGCAAGATTGTAAGGTCAAAGGTAAAATATGTTTACAATTGACAGTTCCAACCCTTGATTTAATAAATCGCCCTTATATAAAAATCTGATTATCTGCATTTTCTCCTACAAAAACAGAAAACAAGGTTCATAACAGGATCTATATGTCCTTGTTAGTTTTAAAATTTTATATTTAAATTTAGGATTTTCTACTTTCATCTTCCCAAAATATTTTGATAATGAAGTATATACTTTCCTTATATTTTATTTTCTCTCTCTTCTTCCTTTTCTCTATAGTAGAAGCTATATATCGTGTCTTTCTTTCTTTCTTAGTCTTCTTATTTTCTTTTCTCCCGGGAAAAGAGATTATTTTTAGTAGATATTAAAAATTGTAATAATCCTCATTTACCACCGCCTGATGATATGCGATGATATGCATCAAAACATGAGTGGATTTATGTAACAATGTTTACACATGTTCTAATGTAATAGCCTATAATAAAGAATAATTCTCTACTATTTTAAATTAATGTTATGAATGTTTTAATTTATATTTGATTCGTTCTTATATATATATATATATATATATATATATATATATATATATATATATATAAACTGATCCACAAAAGAGTGCTTAATATATTTATTTCAGAGTATATAAATGAATTACGTCAAAAATGAAACTCTATTATTCCATTCAGTTGGCCATTGCACACCCGCGATATTCTACCTGGGGCTTGTCAATGCAAAGACGTTTATTAAAAATGAATTTTGACGTTTTCTTTTTAAAGTAAGAATTAAATAAAGAAGGAAAGAAAGCAGGAAAAAAGAAGAAAAAAGAAAAAGTAGAAGAAAGAAAGAGGAACAAACAACAAATAAGGGAAATGGAATTAAAAGATGGATAGGGAGACAAAAGAAAACTAAGGTAGTTAGAAAAGGATGAACAGAAAGTCATGACATAGACAAGTCTAGACAGAAATTAAAACGATTAAAAATTAACAATGTCTTATATTTAACATATCAACTCTTGTTCAAATGGGAAAATTTACTTAGGAAAATACAAACATAAAGGTTAAGAAAAAGAAGAGTTTTAAAGAGTTTTAAAGAAATTATAGATAAATGAAAATTATAATTTAAATATTAATACTATTATATAATTTTAATATTTGATAAAGAAGATTTTTATTAAAAATTTTAATTCTAAAACTCATATTAAATTATTAAATAGTTATATCAAATTATTATTTTAAAAAATTATTATTAAAAAAATATTATTTACTTATTAAAGTATTTAGTCTAATGTAATTATATCGTCCGTTATAGAAACCCAAGATTTCGTTGCTTCTTTAATTTTTTTTTTCATAATTGAACACGAACCACACCTATTATGCACCAAGACGCAACATTCAAATTTTAAACTTACTAATCCAACCTCAATTAATTCATGTAGAAATTAAAACTAAAATTGTTAAAAGTTTCAAAATTTAGCGGCAACTAAGTGACGATCACATCGCGTTGAAAAACCAGTTCTCACCGAGCTACCGATGTTAAGCAATGTTAAGGTATGCCGATGACAAGATAACAGTGTTTATAGCAAACACGGAAAAAATAACTGCAAGAACTCTTACATGTAGTGAAGGGACGTGAGAAGAAAGGAGTAAACATCAAATGCATGGTTGATATCAAAAGAAAGAGCCCAACATGCAAATTGCAAACTGGAGATATCAAGTGCGACACTGAAATCTGTAGGCACATTGGGACAGTCAAAGATGCATTCCAAAAGCTGAGAAGCAGAAACATTTCGTTAAAAAGAAAGATTGCTGAACTGTTGCATAATATCAGTCTTCTTATATGGCAGTGGAAGTTGGACAGTCTCGTCGCAGATGAAGAGATTTGAAGCAACAGAAATGTGGTTCTCCAGAAGATTTCTAAGAACATCATGAAACAAACATGTGAGCAAGATAAAATGCAAACAAAAAAGACACCTATACTTAACATCAAAAAGCGACAATTTACAGTTCTAGCGCACATAATGAGAAAAGATGGCTTGGAAAATCTGATACTCACAAGATAGATTGTAGGCAAGAGAGACAGATGAAAACAATGCATAACCGACTTAGTGAACTTGAGTAAATAGAAGTGGGTAACAAAGTTTAGGAGAGATAACAAAATGACAAAATTTATTAAGAGTTACAAAGGACAGGAAATTGGGGAGAGCCATGATCCCTAACGTTCTGAAAGGAAACAGCACATAAAAGTAGAAAATATTGATCAGTACTCAGATGTGTAATCGTCGGTGAATAGCAGGAGCTGTAAGCTAAGTGGCAAGCCTAGCAAAGCCGGTGATAGATATAATCTTGCTACTTATACTAACAAGACGTTGATATGCGGAGGTGCATCTGAAGTGACAGGTTGTAAGATATACTTGAATTTGCGTGAGTAGAGGTGAAATACTACCAGAATAGGCTTCTTCATCCACAGTACCCTTACGAGAATCTAGATGCAGGGGTGATCTGAGAAATGACCTCCTGACCGGTGGTAGAGATTTACGCTTCGATCGATGTCAGTGGCTGCCTTTAAAATGTAAACATGTGATCAACCCAGTTGTGCTTGGAATGTACACGCATAGGAAAATGTATGATAGATAGAAATAAGAGAGTCTCTTAGAATCTCACGAAAATCGAGTGTCCATGTTGTGGAAGTCACCACACCCACGCACTCAATGGCAGACGGTAATTGACGAAGTCCGGATTGAAACAAACAATGCAATGTTATGTTTGTGAGATTCAGACGAAGATAATGTTACAATAATACACTTCACATACTTTCACACCACCAGATATTACGTTACACGTATTACATGTTACATACGTTATAACAGTACCCATTGTTTTTACATGATCAGATTTTACGTTTCACAAATTATGTATGTTACATACGTTATAATAACAGACTGTACAGTTTTGCATTCCAAGATATTATGTTACATATGTTACAATACATATATTACGTTACATATGTTATAATAATGCACTCCACTCACTATCACATCTATAGACCTTATTTAACATATGTTATGTTACATATATTATGCATGCTACAATAATACAATCCACACACTTTCATATTGCCAGATATTTCGACAATGATCTAATCACATGTATGGTACCTTGTTTAAATATCTTTTTTGTTTGTTTTGTTTTTTACGGCTTATCAACCTTTTACAGTTTATTTAAAACCAGAAAATATTTTTATGTTGTAAAAGTTTTTGGTGCTAATAATTATTTATGATAGATGTCCTACTAATTAACCCATATTTGAGGGGAGACGTGAATTCATACCTTTCTCAAGGGTATTTGCGCCTAAGTGCCAAACCAGATTAGAATTAAAAACTCGGCATTTCGATTTCCAATTGTGAACCATTATTCATTATACCACCCGCACATCCAAGCTTACAACACCTGATATTCTCAAGCAATCACCCATCAAGTTACTGACCCGTCTCGACGTTGCTTAACGTCGGTGATCGTATGAGAACATGTTTCAGCGTGATGGCCATAAACCTAATTCAAGAGTATGCCATCATGATTCACGGAAAAGAGTACAAGCAATTCAAGTACTCACTTCTGTTCCTCTTATACTGTAACCTTCTTGTAGAAGTTCTGTTTCCTCAAGCTTGTACACTAAATAACTTCGAAATCAAGAAGAGACTGTCAGATATATAATGGTAATATGTAACTCATCACTACATTGATATTTGGAGAGAAAATGGTCATTATCCAGTAACTCCATTTACCTTAGAGGGGCCGTGAAAACCACAGCTCATTCAAACTTCAATGTTTAATATCGTAACAATGAAATTAATTCTGAATTTTTCTTTCCTTCTATATCCAAGTCCTGCAGAAGTCGGAGTTACTTTTTCTTATTAAATGGATTACCCAATTCAAGGCCGAGATAAACTCAAACTAGAGGATTATTAATTGAGGTTGTTGTATGGACGTAAAAGGAACTATACATGCATATTATGAGGCGATGTAGGATAGATAACGCTTGACTCTAGAGACTTGGAGAGATTGCATTGGTTGCGAAAGCATCCTGTCGGGTGTCTAGTCCGCAAAATAAGCGGTACTAGGGAAGAACCTATTAGCATGGAACCTTTTTTTTACTAAAGGATTACAAACAGAATGGCGATTATTCGACCCTGGGTTTAAGGAAATAGAGATGGAAAAGCGATAAGTTTGTAACGTTTCGTCTGTGGAAAAGGGGGCTGTCGGGTTGAAAGTAAATCATCTTCGACAAAGCTGCGTAAACGCCCATAAGGCCTCTGTCAAGACTAAAAGGTAAGAATCGTGCAGCAACGGCGATGGGCAAATTCTGTTCCTTCTAGATAATCGGATCTTTCACTGACATGAAATAAATTTATTGCAAGAAAAAATTCTGCAAGAAACTTTTGAAAGCTCCATCAATGTCATCAAAATCAGAAGACATGCCAAACTGAAACTGGATGTTTTTAGTGCCATTGTAAAGAGTTTTGCATTAGTACCAGTAGAAAAGTCATTTAGTTTCAAATAACTTTCTTGCAGCGATGTATATTTAAACAGTAGACAAACATTTTTTAAATAAGGAAAAGCTTTTATAACGTTCAACCTCAAAACTACATTAACTTCAATCTATAAATAATAGATTCTTATTTTAAAAAAAAACTATAATGTCTTCTTCCTAGCAGAAAATTCATTTTACTTTCATAAAATTCAAAAATAAATAAAAACTCAGATTTACGAACCTATTGAATATCAACCGAAATATCTTATATATATTAATTTTTACTCATTATTTTTATTATTTTACTTATTCCGTCAAAAAAAGATATTTTGATAAGTCCTTGCTTGTCAATGTTTATTTTTATTATTTTCCAATTCATTTTGTTTTATTTACTCTTTCACGGAGTCGGACTTTTCACTTCCAGGCTTCGCAAACGTTTTGGAATAGTCTCATAACAAAGACCATGCCACTTAGCGTTGCCAGAGTAGAACATATATAGTGACAAAAGTTACAGACAATAGAAAAGCGAAAAGAATGCAAATGATGACCTATTTTGGCTTGCTTAACAGTCGAAGTTCCAACCCAGATGAAAGCTCGTGCTTCTAAATGCAGAACTTTCCAATTTTGATAGATTGGCTCATCTGTTTACTTTGTGTAACCATGTACCTCTTTGTAAAAGTGTGTAGAATACACATCGGGATAATCCAGAAACTATTTTGTGAATTTTCTTTTTTTGATTCACTAATACCAAACTTACTACAAGCTAACAAAGATTTAGTTCTGTTCATTAAAAATACGTAAATAAATGATTAACGAACGCCTGTCCAAGAGAGATATCTTACAAACCCTTGTGATATTGTTTGTATTATATTATTTCAACTATTGTTCTCATTTGGTTGATATTGATGTTATTATAGACACAGCGTTTCGACCATGTATCCTCTGCTCATCATCAGTCATCATCCATTTATTGACTGATATGGAATATCTGTTGATTATTGTGATATTTTCTCCCTGAGATTTCAATTATTGTCCGTTCCTGCTAAATTGGTTCTTCACTACCAAGGATTGAACTCATGACTACTAGATGGCAATACCACATGCATAATCAACGTGTGTATCCACTACGCCACCGTCCCCGAAGGACCAGATCGCACTTGGTCGAAATGCTATGTCCGTAATAAAATCTCTGTCAACCAAGATTAGAAGACTAGTTTGAAAAAATGCGAGAATATTAAAAATTACTCAGCTCAGAAATGAAATATTAACCTTGTGATGTTATTCAACAAATAAAAATAACAGATTATAAAACAATAGGTCTTCGGTGGAACATCAGTTACTAAGTGCGGATGTGTTTTCATTTCCAAACTATAATAAAAACTAAAATAAATATAGGTGTTTAGTAATTGCAGTTTATTCAAGTGCAAGTTCTCGATAATATAATGGCGTACCAGAGTACGAAATGACTCACAAGGCTATATAAGCGCCAAGAAAATGTAGATTTGTAATTTGACTCACAAGGCTATATAAACAGCGAGAAAATGTAGATTTGTCTGAAACAAGATCATTGTTGTAGGAACCCAGTGAGGACCTAACAGATTATACTAACAAATAATAAGTTGTTACTAATTTCACTTTCGACAGGCAATGAATAAATGCAAACTTGTTCGGCACAGGGTCATAATATTTGATAACTATTAAGCATCAAATTCACTTTTAGTACTACTTTTACGACTAGTTTGTTAACCGAGATTCTACATTCAATTTATACAACTTGGAACAAGGCCAGGATAATGGATTACCGAGTATGGATACAAAAGCAATGTATAATAAATACGTTTACTGTGGGATAATACGCCAACGATGAAGTCCTCAATGAAGATCGAACTACTTTCAGAAGGGATATTTTGTTAGGCCTAATTGACTACTATTACTGCTCCACGGTAGAAAATCTAACAAATGCATTTTTTATTTGTCGATAACGTTAAATATAAATATTCGGATGATTGTACTTAAGAATTTGTAAATTCTGATGAAGAGACTTGTTCATTATTTCGTTGTCATCAGTGTTTATTGGTAAGAAAGTAATTCGATGAAAGTTTAAAGCGTTCTCAATTGACTTAATTTGAATTCTTCACATTCAATTTGGAATGAAAGACTGTCAATTCCGATGAGAGAATAAATTCCGTCAGACACCGCGAAAAATCTTGATTAATTGGATAAAAGAAAAGAAAATCAAAATGTCGTTCAAATCTGAATATTAGAGAACTTGGAACTTAAACAAAAATTCGGATCAACATTAAGGTTTGATATCCAAGTTCAATACAAATATATATATATATATATATATATATATATATATATATATATATATATATAGTGTGTGTGTGTGTGTATATATATATATATATATATATATATATATATATATATATATATATATATATATATACGTACACACACAGAGAGACATATGAAATGTGTACTGATCGTTTATTTAGTAATTAGTATTGGTTTGGGAAGATAATCATAGATATTTTTTACAGTTGTTATATTTCTCGCTGTAGGTTGATGTTGTTTTCTTTATTTTCAATGATATTTTTGTGTGATTTATTTTTTCCAATATATGTTTATAAAGTATTGTACCGTTTGCGTATTTACTATATATAAAGGGTGTTTGTTTGCGTAGTTTCTCTATTTCCAGGGTTATTCAGTTTGTCCTATGCATATTTTTTCTTCGTTATCATTGGCTTGTTTTGCAAGTGGTTTAAAAATATTTTATTTCCAGTTGCATAAATTCGCAATTATGTTTGTTTTTTAATTTGCAGAACTAGTCTATAGCTGTTTTTGTGTTTTTCCCGCTGATTTACTGATTTTACTTCCTTGGTATATATATATATATATATATATATATATATATATATATATATATATATATATATATATATATATGAATAAAATGACAGTAGGAAAACTGGTAATTGCTAACGCGTTTCGTCCAGTGTGGAGTTTACCAATTTTTTTTTTTCGTATTTTGCTTTGATAAAGTCCACATTGGACGAAACGCTTTTGTCCTTTTTATTCATAAATATTGTTTTCTCTACTCTTACTGGTTAAATCGGAGAAATATATATATATATATATATATATATATATATATATATATATATATATATATATGATAACTCAAGAACACAAACCACAAATGGCAAATGAAAATAATTGCCTATAACAGTCAATAACTTACAACTTAGAAAATGTAAGCTTTGCCCCCCACCACCAATAAAAGTTCATTAATCACTTTTCCAAGACTAGATCGACTCCTAATAAACCAGAGCCTCGTTTTCAAATGCTGACATGAAAATAAATACTACGCTCACAAAAACAACATTATGACACAAAAGCTTCGATAAAACTAAATATAATAAACTTTATTTCAAATACTGAAATTTAAAACTTGCTTCCCACCGCTTGTCTTAATCATCTAGTGACTTTACATAGCAATGATAAATGGTCCTAAAATTGCTTTAGGTGTGAAACTAACAGTCACTATACCGTGTTGATTCCTATGTACACAATGTCTATTTATCTGAATATTTGAGAACTCCTTTTCCACATAAATATAGCAGATTACATAGAAAATATGTTATTTGCAATAAAATTTTCATAAGATATTTAATTTATATTTAATTTTAAGAGTTCAAAGAATGCCAAGCAAAATGGTTGGCCCTCACACATATTCACCTCATCAAATCTGGCCCTCTTTGAAAAAAGTTTGGACACCTGTGAAAGGAATTATACGTCTTTCACATCATTAACATTCTGGTAATGTTATCAACAAATTAAAAAAAAAGTCATGTAACTTCGTTATCAATCATTACATCCGAATATATGATATCGTTTATACGAAAATACCAGTTAAAATTGGTTAAATTTTCCAAAGCACCATCTTGTAGAATAAAAAAGTAGATTCTGTAAATATGGTGATACCTCCCTTTAGTTGAGAC